TTTAAAATGTGTTTCTTCATGGAGGAGTTGTCATTGTTCAGGTGTTCTCTTACACGATCGTGGATAAAGCCTGTAGTGCTCCCGATGAAGTATTGGTTGCAGTTGTTACACGTGATTTGGTAAACAGTGTTGCATAATAAGCATAATTTGGTGCTGGAGATAGGGCAGTTGGTCCTCATGCATGTCCGTTCCGTCTTGTTCTGAGAGAGAGCTCGTCTGAGGGTGTATGACTTATGCGCGACCCGTACTGGTATACCCTCTTTTCAGAAAATGTTGGTGATCCTGTAGTTGAGACATTCGGAGAGATATGGGATCTTTAGGTACGACCATTCTGTGTTGAGAGGTCACGGGTCTTTCCGATGGTTCTGGGAGAGCTTAGTTGTTCTAGTTCTGGGAGTGCATCCTATTCATGGACAGACTGGAAACCATCGCCCTCTCTTCACACTTATCTATAAGCCCCTACAGGAGATACGTTGACGACATTTACCTCCAGACAACTGGCAAGGAAATGGCAGACCAATTCCACTATACAATGAACAATCTGCACCCCAAATTAAAGTTTGAAATTGAGAAACCAGAAATAACACCAAATGGCCTCTCACTATCACTACTTGATTTCAATGTCACCATCTCCAAAGACGGCAAAAGCTCCTTTGAATTTTACAAAAAAATAGCAAAGAAACCACTCTTTGTTCACCACCAATCAGCAATACCGGAAAAGTCAAAGATCAACTTCGTTCGTAATGAACGGAAACATATCGACGATAAATGCTCTACAAAAACGACAGCCACAAAGCATCAAAACATGTTTGACGATGTCCTCCATCTTAACAGGTATCCTGAAAGCACTATAGACAAAACTAAGCACTCCCAGAACCATTCTAATAATTACTTTAACATATCTAGAGACTCTTTGTACTTTGACACTCACTCATTAGATCATATCATTCGTTTTTATTCATATTTGTATCTTATTTATCTCATGCATTTTACCCCACACATTCTTTCGCTTTTCACACATTTTTACTTTACATCTGTATATAAGCCTTACGTGGAATATTTTTTCTTATCCCTGATGATGCCGTAGATTGGTGAAAGCTTGGATGTTCTAAAAGATTTTAATATCGTTTTACAGTAGTGTAAGGCCTCAATTGAACTTTTACCAATTCATTCATATTAACAGTTTACAATTTGAGATAAATTGGCAAGCTCTCTGTAAATCATAATGCTAAATAAAATAACTGCACAAGTACATCCCTGGAACAAAAAAAAACTACAGAATAAGTTATTGTACATTATGTAAGTGAGGTACGTTATTGGTATGTGAGAAAATCAAATTGTGGGAATTTGGAGATAAAATATTCCGTTAAAAAATTACAAAAACGTTGCAAAAGTTTTACATACTCAGCAAAGTGGGAATAAAACCTCTCTCTGTGTCCGTTCAGTGTGTCTGCTGGCAAACCTAAATACATAATGATCACCAATAGTCATAACAGTTGTTCTAAATAATTAAGATTTCTATGACAGTAGGCTAGGTTACATGTAAGTCTTTGTATTTCTTGTTACTAGACAATAAAAAGCACTGTTCTTCATCAGCACGGGTTCAAGCTGACATCCAATATGAAATGAATTGGATTATTTACTACTCCCATGGTTGGGGATATCATTAACCTTCAGCAGGCATGGATTCTACACGGATAAAAAAATTAATGGTGATCGATTTCCAAAACAACGTGTGCCAAAGGTGAAGGCTTCTAAAGGGGTACAGGCCCATGCTTCCCTAGGAAATGTTTTGGATCTTGCCTCAACCTGTCTGGTTATCTAGTGGGTAACCAGGTACTCTCTGGTTGACAATTTTAAATCTCTCAGGCTACCAATTGGAAAGTAATTTTCAGGAATAAAGGTAGTGAGTGGAGAGAAAAGAGCAAGAGGAAAAATTCAACCACAAAAACATCAATGCCTTACATAAAAGGTAACACTAATTTAAATTAAAGGGCCACTAGCCCTAAAAATTTTTTTTGGCTCATATAAATTACCTTTTTCTCCTGATCACCACTGCGAAAAAATTATCGTTGTAACTATTTTTGTTAATTTTCTATGAATTTTTTAAGTTTGTAAATTTGCCCTTTTTCATGTTCA